ATCATTAATTAGTGGTGTTGGTACCTATCAACAAACTGAACGAATACAAATTTCTTAGTACACATTTTTTTAATATTAACCTTGTCAAATTTTCAACAAAATCTTCTCGCCATAACTCTGGTCTCTTTTTGTGGATTTTTTCCACTTTGCAAAACGCCTTTTCTTTAAATGAAACAATTTTTTATATTCCATATTTCATTATTGCTATGACGCAATTAGGTAGACATGTGGTCACAACTATACAGGGTGTGACGTGGATGCAAAAGTACAAACTAAGAAAAATAGATATTTAAAAAAAACTGATATTTTCTTATTATAATAATTAATAGTAATTACTATCTTAATTGCATTGTTGTTACTATAAGAGTTCGCAAACAAAACCACATCCGTAAGCATCTGTAGTTGCCAACTGCGTGCACTAAACAAACTCCATTAAAATATGGAACAAAATGAAATAAAACTTACCATTTCTAGAGAAAATGTTGAAATTGATCCCCATTAGCGCGGATACAGGCATGGCATCGACGCACCCAATTTTGGCGAAAATTTTCACAAATTCCAGGTATTCCCCGTCAGCAGCTTCAAGTATACGGTTTCGCAATTCTTCCAGCAATTGGAGTATTGTAAACCAATGACTTCAAGTGACTCCAAAGATAAAAGTCCATTGGAGTTAGATCGGGTGACCGAGGTGGCCAAGGCACAGGACCAAGCCGTCCAATCCATCGCGGAAGAAACATTTCATTCAAAAGTGTTGTTACTTCTCGAGTACTGTGTGGAGAAGCCCCATCTTGAAGATAAAACATGCTTGCCTTTGTAATGTCACATCGTCCAATAATTCAGGCAACCGGTTCTCCAAAAAATCAGCATATGTTGGTCCATTTACTCGTCCTTCAAAGAAATAGGGACCCACAAGTACATCGCCGATTATGCCAGCCTAAACATTTACCGAGAACCGATGTTGAAAATGAGTTTCCCTAATCACGTGAGGATTTTCATTGGCCCATATGTACATATTAAGGAAATTTACTTCATCACGGTTAAATATCGCCTCATCTGTTACACAAACATAAGCAGGAAAGTCCACTTGATTGGCACATTGCCATAAAAACCATCTGCAAAAACGCATTCGTTGATCACAATCCGGGAGTAAAATCTATTGAACTAGTTGCAGATGATATGGGTACAACAGCTGGCTCCTTAAGACGCGATATACGGTACGAGATGAGGTTCTTACTTGTTGTGCGAGTCGTCGAGTACTAATTGTGGGGTCTTCGTCAAGATTTTCCAACACTGCATCTTCAACAGTAAGGTTCACTTGCTGACCACGTCCTTCTCCTCGAGGAATAACACTTCCCGTATCTCGCAGCCGCTGAACGTACTGTATGATTGTATTTGCACATAGGGGGTGACGTTGTAGCTATCGTTCCCGATACAACCTANAGCAATTGGAGTATTGTAAACCAATGACTTCAAGTGACTCCAAAGATAAAAGTCCATTGGAGTTAGATCGGGTGACCGAGATGGCTACGGTACAGAACCAAAGCGTCCAATCGCTGAGGAAACATTTCATTCAAAAATGTCATTACTTCTCGAGTACTGTGTGGAGGAGCCCCATCTTGAAAATAAAACATGCGTGCCCTTGTAACGTCACATCGTCCAATAATTCAGGCAACCGGTTCTCCAAAAAGTCAGCATATGTTGGTCCATTTAGTCGTCCTTCAAAGAAATAGGGACCCACAAGTACATCGCCGATTATTCCAGCCTAAACATTTACCGAGAACTGATGTTGAAAATGAGTTTCCCTAATCGCGTGAGGATTTCATCGGCCCATATGTGCATATTATGGAAATTTACTTCATCACGGATAAATATCGCCTCATCAGTTACACAAACATAAGCAGGAAAGTCTAGTTGATTGGCACATTGCCGTAAAAACCATCTGCAAAAACGCATTCGTTGATCACAATCCGGGAGTAAAATCTATTGAACTGGTTGCAGATTATATGGGTGCAACAGCTGGCTCCTTAAGACGCGATATACGGTACGAGATAAGGTTCCTACTTGTTGTGCAAGTCGTCGAGTACTAATTGTGGGGTCTTCGTCAAGATTTTCCAACACTACATCTCCAACAGTAAGGTTCACTTGCTGACCACGTCCTTCTCCTCGAGGAATAACACTTCCTGTATCTAGCAGCCGCTGAACGCACTGTATGATTGTATTTGCACATAGGGGGTGACGTTGTAGCCATCGTTCCCGATACAACCTAGTCGCCGTGAGCGCATTTTCTCCGGATGCACCATACACTAACACCATACCTACACGTTCAGAAATAGTAAATGCATTGTTTTTTCTGTTCATTGTAAAACTAGTTTGTGCACAAACTAAAAATTAAGCAAAGTAAGAAATAAGAATCTCGTTTTTAATGTAATCGGCACGCTATTCTTATTTTTTACTTCTTTATAAAAATTACACTGTCACTATCGTGGAATTACAAAATAAAAACTTTTGTCTGGAATCTTTCACTTCGCTTTAATACTGATGGGTCGATGGCCGATGCTTAATATTTAATAATTAAGTGAATAATGAATTCAATACAAATACAAAATCAATTGACTGCACAAATTTTTTGACAATGTAACCTAACCTTCTTTTAGTATTACTAGTATTAGAATATACCGACATAAATTATAAAGTTGCATCTCGGGTCGCATAAAAACATTTCCAAAGTTTTTAATAAATAACACAGGGTCGGCCTTCATTTTCGCTGAATAAATGAACTTTAATTTACAAAAAAAAAACGCCAAGACAGAAGTTTTTTGTATAAGACTTTTCTATTACAAATATCATCAGGAAGCAGTAGTTTAATTTTTATACACCATGTATATTTATATTGTTATTAAAAGAGTTAATTAACAACAAAGTTACATGTATGAATATTATCAGTATCGAATAGTAGCACTAGATTTGTAATATTCATAGGCACAAACGAAACGGATACAAAGCATTTCAGAAATATTTGTGTCATGTTACATAACATAAAAACGGACGTATGTTATGTATGTACGCTAAATGAAATGAAATACAACGCGAGGGGAATACAATTTTTATATGTGATTAAATTTTATAAATCATTAAATTTATTATTTATATTCATGCAAATATGCCAGCAAATATCCGCGTAGAGTTTCATTAATTTCAACAAATAAATTTATTAATATTTTGTTCCGTGCAGCGGGTTGCTCTTCGTAAACAATGAGATATGCAGGTTATAATTTTAATTAGGTACGTCACGGAAAAACAATTATTTCGTAGTACTGAATTACTACTAATGACCTTAAATTTCCGATACAAGATCCTGACATCAGTGAATTCAGTTTTTGCTCCTTTTTCACCTATTTAAATTTATAAGTTCATTATCACCCTGTCTACACCATTTATACAAGAATGCAACACACTTTCAGCTTTCTGTCTCAGAAACAAGCTGGGTATACGAGGGGACAACCATAAATATCCGAACGAAATTTGCTGCGCGCGTCGTTTTTGTAGTTCGGACTTCTCCCGCTAGATGGGTATTACATAATCTCTCCTAAGTCTAGTTTTCTGTGACGAATATTTCGACCTCTTCGATTTTTCAAAATGATTGATATTCGAGAACATCGCGTGGTACTGAAATTTTGTTTTCTGCTCGGGAAAAGTGCATCGCACAGTTGATATGTTGTCTAGAGCTTACAAAGAACATGCCTTGAAAAGTAATCGCGATTAAAAGGTCGATCGAAGACATTCAATGCCTAGGTCGACCTTCAAAGATAAAAGGCACACTATTGATGTATTTGCTGAATTATCTGGACTTTCGTGTAGCTCAGTGCACCGTATTTCAGCCGAGGATTTGCAAATGAGACGAATCGCGACAAATTCGCCCCCTCTTGTTGATTTATTTTCAAAACGCGGCTGTGTCGCTACTTGTCGCTACTTGTCGCGACTTGTCGTGACTTGTTGGACCATTTCAAAGTGGAAGAGAACTTTTTCGACAAAATCATCACCATGGATGAATCGTGGTGTTATGAGTACGACCCTGAGACAAAGCAATAGTCATCACAGTGGAAGGCCATAAACTTCGGCCGAGAAAGACCCGACAAGTCAAACCGGTCGTGAAGACAATATTGATACGTTTTTCCGTGGAATTGTTCACGTTGTTGTTGTCCCCGAGCATCAAATAGTGAACCAAATCTTCTGAGTGTTTTGAGGCGGTTGCGCTGAAGTGTTCGGGTGAAACTGTGGCGAAGTGGGGACTGGTTCTTCCACCATGACAGTGTTCCAGCTCACACAACCATCTCTGTGGCGAAAGACCGCATGACACCGCTTCCTCACCCACTCTACTCACCTGATCTGGCACCCCGTGATTTGTTTGTTCCCCGGATGAAAAGGGAGCTGAAAGAGAAACGTTTTGCAGACATTCTGGAGGTGAAAAAAAATTGAAGGCGGCGCTGCAAGGCGTCGGAAAGGATGAGTACAAAAGGTGATTCGCGCAGTGGAAAAAACGTTTGAACTGATGAAAAAATAAATTCTGTAAAAATGGTGTTCGGTTATTTTTGGGATCCCCTATAATGTGGCAAACTTCAAGCATTTGAACTGAATTTTAATATTTGACATTAAAAAAAAGTTATGTAGTTATTTCCTGCACTTGAGTGATTTTCGTGATGCTTTGAACGAATTTTGAGCAACAGCGGTTGAGGAAAAACTATTTACAGAATTCCGTATCTGCACCTCCATTGCAACAAATCAAATAATAATTAAAAAGCTATAAATCTGCGCCAATGTCAATCCAAAAATAAAGGTGTAGCACATTTGGAACAATTATCAGCACTTCCTGTATGAAATTTTATTGTTAAATTCGTTATCGCAGTAAACACTGTAATGTTATTTATTTAAATGGGTGGAATATTGGTTTCAAATATAAATATTCCTATATTTCGCACTATTAACTATTTGTTCCAAAAGTTTTCACCGTGGTGGTTCATAATGTTACGATTCCGCTATTATATGTGTGTTTTTGTCATATTTTCGATAATCAAACATTGTAAGTACATTTATTAAATTGTTTGCTACTAGAACTACTGTTAATATCTTATTTTTGTTAAGAGATTGCTGACTAGAGATATTTTAAGTTTGAAATTTTTTTTCAGCTCTGACTCTTTCGTCTCAATGCTATGCATGCCATGGAGAGTACTGCAATGACCCTTTCAATAAAGACAGGGCAACAATAATGTCATGTTCGAATTCTGCGACCTTAGTCAACGGACGAAGTGTGGCAGATTCTGGAAGCCTCGCAAATGGTGACTTCAAATTTGAAAAGTGGGACTCGTTAGAAGCCAAACTGAACAAAATATTCCGTGGCTTATTCGGAACAACTGAATACGTCTGTGCGAAATCATTGTACTTTAACAGTAAGTTATTATTTTATCTAAATAATTTTTTATCACCTATTTAGTTAAGTGGGTATACCGGATGATTTAGTTTGATATTCGCGGCCCTGTATCTCTTTTATTTTAACAAATAGTTATAACAAACCCTATACATTTTTAAATCGCCGCTCAAACTCTATCAAATGACATTATTGGATCGTCTCCATGGTAACATATGTCAAAATTGCTACAGTCAACTGTTTTTGTTCAAAAGACACACTATATATTTTTTTAACAATTCTAGAAGGTATTTTTTCTGTGTTCAGCTATAGTTTCATTAGAACTATTGTTAGAAAAACAGCAAAAAAGATTAACCCTACTTTTCGTAGCTTTATTCTGAAAAATGAAGCAGCTACGGAATCAAGTTACTATGTTTTTAAAGTATCATATTTTATTTTTAATACGATAATAAGATAACAATTTAAAACAATACTTATTTCAAATGTTCAAAATGACCTCCATTTGCTTCCAAACACAGAATTACTCTGTTTATCGCTTCCTCTTTACTCATTTATCTCCGACATTCTACTCTTATTCTGTTTTTAAGATCGTCAATATCATTTAGGTAAGGGCAGAGAAAGAAATCTATAGAAGTGAGATCCGGAGATCTAACATCTTTATCGAATGTTCTTCATCTCTTGCCCTTCTGGGTTTAAAACTCTTCTTTTCTTTTGAAAACTTCCATCTGCTGCCAAATTCTTGGCTAACTTATCGAAAATTTTATCTGATAGAAGTTGTCTCTGCGGAAAACGATGTTGGTATAGATACCTGGCAGCTTTATCGTTCTTTCGGCCCTCTCCATAAATTAAAATCATATCTAGTTTTTCTTGGTTACTGTAAGTGTTCATGTTATAATTAGTTATACAGGGTGAGTCAGTTTTTTGTAGACAAACTTTAACAGGCGATAGAAGTTCCTATAAACATATGTCGTAGATACAGGGTGTTGAATATATTTTTTNGTAACATATTTTATTTTTAATACGATAATAAGATAACAATTTAAAACAATACTTATTTCAAATGTTCAAAATGACCTCCATTTACTTCCAAACACAGAATTGATCTGTTTATCGCTTCCTCTTTACTCATTTATCTCCGACATTCTACTGTTATTCTGTTTTTAAGGTCGTCAATATCATTTAGGTAAGGTGAGAGAAAGAAATCTATAGAAGTGAGATCCGGAGATCTAACAGGCCATTTAACATCTTTATCGAATGTTCTTCATATCTTGCCCTTCTGGGTTTAAAAACTCTTCTTTTCTTTTGAAAACTTCCATCTGCTGCCAAATTCTTGGCTAACTTATCGAAAATTTTATCTGATGGAAGTTGTCTCTGCGGAAAACGATGTTGGTATAGATACCTGGCAGCTTTATCGTCCTTTCGGCTCTCTCTATAAATTAAAATCATATCTAGTTTTTCTTGGTTACTGTAAGTGTTCATGTTATAATTAGTTATACAGGGTGAGTCAGTTTTTTGTAGACAAACTTTAACAGGCGATAGAAGTTCAAGCGATAAGAATGTTCAAAAACTTGCACAGTGGCGGAGTGGAGGGGGTGCTCAACGCCTTTCTTAAACAGAACTTCTACGCCAATGACTATTTTTTAAAAAAACTGTTACTTTCATTATCTACATACAGTTTAACAAAAATAATGTCCCTTCTTCTGTTTTGAAATTCATGTGCGTTTCCGAGTTATTTTGATTTTTAGTGTTTGATGTGGTACTAAATTAATTTATTTATTATCATCTATGGGCTAAATATTTAATTCTTTCAACGAAACCTACCTAAATATGATTTGTTAAGGATTCTAAAAAGCCGGAATCCCTTATTCTCTATCTCTTTCCAATGTAGTCAAAATAAATATTTGTTATATTAAGCCATACTCAAACACAAGACTTTTATTTTTAAGTTGAAATATGTTTAGTACTCTAATTTTAACAATCCTTATTTATTATGTGCTGTGTAAATACTAATGTACTGCAACTAAATTACAAAAAAAAACATTGAATGAACATTGATGTTAATGTTTATGGAGAAATGTTTTGAATTTATAACAATATTTAATTAACAACTTCTTAAAACTTTTTGGCAACTGCACAATAATGTATTGTATGTATGTAATGTAACAGATTTCAACTTATAAAAGTCTTGTATTTGAGTATAGCTTGATATAACAAATATTTGTTTTGACTACATTGGAAAGAGATAAAGAATAAGAGATTTCGGCTTTTTTAGAATCCGTAACAAATCATATTTAGGTAGGTTTATTTGAAATAATTAAATATTTAGTGGATAATTGATAATAAATAAATTACTTAATTTAGTACCACAACAAACACTAAAAATCAAAATAACTCGGAAACGCACAGGAATTTTGAAACAGAAGAAGGGACATTATTCTTGTTAAACTGTAGGTAGATAATGCAAATAATCTTTTTTTTTAAAACAGTCATTGGCGTAGAAGTTCTGTTTAAGAAAGGGGTTGAGCACGCCCTCCACTCTCAACGCAAATTTTGAAGTTGCGTCACTGTCTTCGAAACAAATCAACCGCATCTGTTCCTTGTAACAATCCAAGGGAGTCAAGTGATATATGCACAACACTCCATACCGCTCAGCTTTCCTTTAATCTGTGAACAGATCCATTTCCATTCATCTTCCGAAAACAAACGCTTCGCTACAATAAAACCTATAAATAGACGCACCAAACATAAACGAAACTTAAAAATTATGAATGAGTCTCAATATATATAGCTCGCCCATTCATCCCGTTGGAAGAAAGTAAGAAACGCCAACATTTTAATCTTCGACTGTCCAGAGCCGTGTCATTAGTTCGACGTTTTAATGATTGAAGTCGCCGCCGCCCGCGATTTAATTTTAGCTCGCCGCGGAGAGAGCGTACGTATTATTTTAAGGAAAGCTATACACCTGTTACTAAAACAAACAAATCGGTCGTTTAGCGGGCCGCGGTCAAAGGGAGGCGAGAAGGATAATTACGTGAGTGAAGTCGCCGCAACGTCTCCCACGACTCGTACAGGATGCCTCACCTGCGTCGGGAATAGCTCGAATTATTCGCATTGGCGTTCGCAAATAATAACTTATCACACAGTGGAATACAGTTTAAATGTGTCTTATAGTCTTTCCGATCTCAATTGAAGACCAATGAGCTAGGCAGTATGTACCAGGTTCAGCCGGTGCACAAACACAGCCGCACTGGGTGACCGGTCATAAATTTCAGTTGTTGACAAATTGAATAGTAGTGCAGCAATGCGGAATTTGCTGTGATTCATGTAATTTTTATTTATTATAGGCGCATTCTATTAATCATTACAACGTGCCATTTTGGAGATTTTGAAACGGAACAAGAAGAAATTTACCATCAATATAATAAAATTGTTTGAGGGGATAAATAATTCAAATATGTTGTTGGCCAAATGAACATATAATAGATATTTTCTACTCATTATATACAAATTATTATAATTTTTTACCTTTAGCAGAAAGCTTTTTTAAGACGCCTATGAAACTCATTAAATTTTATTGCTAGGCGTTTTTATACTTGTTCAACTGATTTCGGAAACAAGATACCTACTTCTAAATTTATTATTTTTTAAAAAAAAGTACAGGATAGGATTTTTTATTCGAAATACAATTTTAAATATATATACCAGGGCGGATCTTTAGAAATATCCCACTACTTGGATGTAAGAGGGGGCAAGCTAAATTCCACTGGAATTCCTTCAGGACAAGTCACACAATAAAAGTGTAGATCTCTAGATCTGGGCGAGGTCCGGAACATTTTCAAAATGTTTTTTACTTATATCTTGGAAACCTATGCATTTTGGAAGAATATTGAAGAAGAAAAAAGTTTTAGAATTGAATTTTGCACAATATACTGTAAGTTAAAAATGATTAAATTTATTACCGATGTTGTAAAATAGTAATAATTGATGAAAAAAAGACAAAATAAGTTTTTTGGATAATTTTTTTAAATATTTTAATTGCTCCGAGGGCATACTAATGTTCGTAAAAAAACTAGAGTATAATAGAACAACACATCAAATTTCATTAATATCCGTTCGAGTTTTCGCAAAATAATTTTTTGAAAAAAATTTAGAAGAAATCTTTCGAATTTTGAAAATGTTGCACAGCCTCAAATAAAGCATCTAGATACTTGAAAATTTTTTCACTAGAAAACACCGCTCAATTTTTCAAATGGTCACAGTAAATTTTTAAAATTAACACTGTTTTTTTTTTTAACAATTAGATTACATTTATCAATTTGCAGTTTAGTTTTTTGTAATGTAATCCAATTGTTTAAAAATAAAAAATAAGTTAACTTTAAAAATTGATTGTGGCCGTCCTGATCAACCGATTTCAAATTTTCAAAAACCATTTGAAAGGTTGAGCGGTTTTTTTTATGTGAAAAAATTTTCAAATATCTAGATGCTTTATTTGAGGCTGTGCAACATTTTGAAAATTCGAAAAATTTTTAAATTATTTTGCGAAAACTCGAACCGATTTTAATGAAATTTGGTGTGTTGTTTTATTATGCTTTAAAGTTTTTTTTACCAAAATTAGAATGCCTTTTAAAAAATATCCAAAAAACTTGATTATTTTGCCTTTTTTTAAACAATTATTGCTATTTTGTGGCATAGGTAATAAATTTAAACATTTTTAACTTACAATGTATTGCGCAAAATTCAATTCTAAAACTTTTTTCCTCAACAATATTCTTCCAAAATGCATAGGTTCCAAGATATAAGTAAAAAACTCAGATAAAATAGGTATTTTTTAAACATTTTTCAATTTTGAAAATGTTCCGGACCTCGCCCAGATCCAGGGATCTACACTCTTATTATGTATAATATCAATCCATTGGCGTAGAATATGGGAGTTTTAGTAATTATATCTTCCGTAATTGTACACCAATGGAAGCAAAGAATGTTAAGTATTAAATGTAGATTAAGTAAACTATTTACTACAAA